AACAAGAAAACAAAGTTGAACTTATAAACAGTTAGACATAAGGAGTAGTTAAGATCAGATATTAACTCATATTGCTTCAACCCTTTAAGCTTGTAAGCTAAAAGTAATATTTTATTTAATCATTCGTTTAACTCTAGTTTAAAGCAAATCTGCTGAGCCATTAGAGGGCTCAAATAAAACTAATAACATGAGCAATCAGAGAGATTCTATACCCTCTTCCCGCTGTTCCTTTTTGAGATTACATGCGTTTATATTGGTTATCGCCAAATTTCACCTTCGAGAACTCAGAAAATCCTTCTCAGATCCAGAATGATCAACGATCCGGATCATTTTTTGTAGTCTCAACTTTAATGTGCCCATGAAATTTGGTAAAGTCCGATCACACTTTTCAAAGTTATTAACTGAAAACCGCAAAAAGGCCCTATGTCCCTATTATAAAAAAAAGAGCTTCAATGTGATCCAGAATCTGGCTCCGGATTTGGATCCGGACAAAATTTGGAGAGGACTGTTCCATACTGACTTCCCATCTTGTTAAAAATTTTCGTGTACATCGGTCTATTGGTTTTCGAGATACGCACGCGGAAACACAGATATACTGACACATACGGACCCAATTGCAATATTTCCTGACATCCTGTTAGAGAATAGCCGCAAAGACAAAGAAAACAATATAATTTATCTTTTATTTAATAAATGAAATCAACGTGTGTGTGTTTTATGTATAATGTAGCTATATTTATATTTAAGTATTGAAAATATGGTTTCTATAACATACGTTTTTATACTATACCCATTCCTTACCTTGTCTTTGGAAACCTAGTTAGAGCGAACGGTACACCTTACCTAATAAGCAGATTTTATGAGCATACATGGTAAAAACTGGGAAGTGAGATGTTTTTAGTGCTCCTGGTCGCTGGGTGGCGCTGGACGTAAAGAGCACACAGAGGCCCGTTTCGAAGTTAATGGATTGACAAGTGGAGTTTTCTTGACAGAATCGTAAACAGTCTGTTAGCTTGAGAGTGCCAGGAATCATATCTAGCGTGTCTTCTGATGCGGAGTAGACGAAGCCCGTTATCAACTCGAAAGTAATGAAGCCATTGGAGCAACCTATCAAGATATACGAAAAATATGAAATAAACAAATATTAAAGTACATTAAAAATACAAATACAGTTTTGGAAACTAAATAATATATTTCCTGATAATAGAAAATGCTGTAGCAGTGAAAATAAAAATATTCGCCTAGAAAACCATTGTAATTGTACTAATTGTAGTTAACGTAATTCAAAATTATTTTCTTCGTACCATGTCAAAAACGTGTGTGCGTTTTCCTATAGAAAAGCCACATCGGCCTATCTGCTATGTCTACCGATGGGAACCGAACCCCTGATTCTAGCGTTGTAAATCCGAAGACGTACCGCCGTCCTACCGGGGACTGTCAGAAATGAAACCGAACTGTATGATACAAGTTAACATAACTACAACGAGTTTAAAACTGTGTAAATGGTCCTTTTCAAACTAGAAATTAGACGACCACATTTTTCTAGTGAATTTATTAATGATTTTATTCAAATATGTACCGATCTGTTATTTATAAGTATTTTTATTCAAACATGTACCGATCTGTTATTTATAAGTGTTTTTATTCAAACATGTACTGACCTGCTATTTATAAGTATTTTTATTCAAACATGTACCGATCTGCTATTTATAAGTATTTTTATTCAAACATGTACCGATCTGTTATTTATAAGTATTTTTATTCAAACATGTACCGATCTGTTATTTATAAGTATTTTTATTCAAATATGTACCAATATGTTATTTATAAGTATTTTTATTCAAACATGTACCGATCTGTTATTTATAAGTGATTTTATTCAAACATGTACCAATCTGTTATTTTTCAGTTCTAGATCCTCCTACATCTCGACAAAATCTGAAGCCAGAAATTAACTACTTTTTATTGCATTGTCTCTCATATTTCGTTTTAAAAATATGGTTTGTGAATTAAGTTGTTCATGAATGATCTCACACATCTATGTTGTTAATCCTTCATTACTTTAGTTAGCTTTTTTTTTTTTATTCATCCCATGTCATTTTCCATTCTTTTGATTGGTTTCTTTCGGCTTCGCTCTTAGGGCATCTTTGTCTTTTCTTTATTTGCTCCATTCGGATCTTGTTCGACCCACTTTCATTATTTCTTTTATTGGTCCACTGATCTCATTCACCCGAAATTTATCCATCTCGGTGACTTATCCATTCTCAACCATATCTCATCTTCGCTTGTTCCTATGATTGTTATATATTGTTCAGAAAAAGAAACAAACAAAACTTGAAGCATTTATTGACGAACAAAAAGCCTGGATTGTTGTAACAAAATTTCATTTAGAAGTCTTCATTTAAAACGGCATCTGTCGGCGTTTTGTTTAACTACGAATATTCGATATTGACTAATTGTTTTTCCACTGAAGAATAACTGCAAAGTGTGTGAATTGTTAATAAAAAAAGTGATTTTCCAGTAACAGATCCCAATGCGAGAGTAATATCAACGATAGGGTTATGGACTTACAACACTACAATCCAATACGAGAGTAATATCAACGGTAAGGCACTAAAACAAATATCTGGTTTACAAACGTGTTTTGTTCCAAATAAATTAGTTATCCTGATTGTGATGAATAATCTTTAAAATTTTTTATTTGAAGGTTCTTTGATAGTTGTTTCATCCTATGAAACTATTCTCGGTGGTTCAGCAGTAAGTTCGAAGGATTATAATGCTAAAATTCGGAGTTCAATCCTGCGGTGGGACAGCCCACTGTGCTGCTTTTTGCGCAAACACAACAAACAAGTTTCACAGGGTTGTCGTGTCATACAATCTACACTACTACAGTTTTCCTAACTATTGTTACGACAACGGAAGTCACGTGACGCTGGTAACACGTAATGAGTATCTAGAAATATCGAGGAACCCGTCGAACGTCCTAGCGTTTGCTAGACTCGCGCTCTTATAGTATATAAGCCGGCAAATAAAGTTATTGAATTGCAGACAGAGAGATATAGAGACAAATAATCGAGTCAAGCCGGAAGTAAAGTGCGTGAATCGTTGTGAATTCTAGCGTGTGTTTAAGTTAAAGTGACTGTGGAAATTAAGTGTACTGCAAAGTTGAATTGAGAAAAAATGAACTAGTTTTATTTAAGAAAGGACTTGTATCGCTGAAGTTCTTCGGAAAGAATTTCTACGGAAAATTAACAAACGACCAGAGACGTAACACTATTGTTTCGCTTGGTTTTAAGATGATCACCATATTTCAGATCCTGCACATTACTTGCATCTTTCATTCTCGGATTAAAGACGGATAAAAACAATGAGAAAAAGTATATTTTTACTGCAGTATAATCTTCCTTAAGCTGTAATCAAAGTAGAAAAATCAGATAAGATTACGAAATTTATGGAATATGTTTGCCGAAAGATTGCAGTACGTTAACACAAGGCCTGGCATGGCCAGGTGGTTAGGGCGCTCGACTGGCAATCTGAGGATCGCGGGTTCGAATTCCCGTCACACCAAACATGCCCACCCTTTCAGCCGTGGAGGCGTTATAATGTGACGGTCAATCCCACTATTCGTTGGTAAAAGAATAGCCCAAGAGTTGGCGGTGGGTGGTGAGTGTAAGACTAGAGGGAAGGCAGCTAGTCAGCTAAATTAGGGACGGCTAGCGCAGATAGCCCTCGTGTAGCTTTGCGTGAAATTCAAAACAAACAAACAAAAGAAGCACAGTTCAATGCATTTCAGGTTGGATGCACGACATATGCACAGGTATTTGCACCCTTTTTTTATATCCAGAATGTATTATTTCGTTGCATGATGTCAAAGATTCTGATATGTGTGTTTAATGTTGCGATCAACATAAACTATCGTGATAGATCTTGAGGTGTTGTGAGAAGGCTGCTTGTTTTGGGAGGGAGGTTCTCAATGGTTCTAAAACGCTGTGAGAAAAGTCGTTTCTTAGTTGCATTGACTTTACTCGACAGACAGGTTCTATTGTACAGAACAAATTGAACAACAACAAATATTTCAATTTCTGCCAATATTTCATCTAAGACTTTTGAAGGTATTAGTGCTTTGAAATTCGTTTAAATAGCACGCGCCCATTAAATTAACACATAAATGAACTATGAGTGCTTTGAAATTCGTTTAAATAGCACGCACCCATTAAATTAACACATAAATGAACTATGAGTGCTTTGAAATTCGTTTAAATAGCACGCACCCATTAAATTAACACATAAATGAACTATGAGTGCTTTGAAATTCTTTTAAATAGCACGCACCCATTAAATTAACACATAAATTAACTTCTATTTAAGATTAGGTTGACATACAGTCCGAATTAATTCATTTAACTAGCGCGATATCCATGCTTATTTAAGCTGTGTCTTGTCCATAATTTAGCCCAACGCCACCTTTAGTATAAATTGACTTTTGCATTAATTTAATGGATTCACGCTATTTAAATGAATATAAAACACTCGGAATACTTGAAAATTAGACATTCTTTTAAGTTTGTTAAGATTCATTTAAATTCTATGCATCCATTAAAAATTTAATTAGCATTTAGCAACGACCCGGGATTCGATTTCCAACGGTGTACAGACAGAAATAACAACCAACAACTTTGAGACAGAAAATCATTATTGTGACCTTTTGGATCTCATTAGCGTACAGATATACAGTTGATCTATTATAATTACCTTTGGTTAACAATGCTTTCACAAGGCTTAGGAAATATCGGTATTGAGTACAAGCGTCGCGACTTTAACATTAAGTCCCGAAACTTACCGCTGACCCACTAATAGATCCTGTCTGGAAAGGTTGTATAATTTAAATTATACGTGTCTGCACCTCTTGTGTGGATAATTCAATGGCTTCCCAATTAGATAAATATCGCCAAAGAAAAGTCTTGATAAAATAATCTTTTCTGGTGATATACATTTTCAAAACCATTGTCCAGTTTTGTAATATACTACTGAAAAAGTAATTCAATACATCAGTGGGGTTAAAGGCTTCATTATTTTCCACTAAATGACCCTAAGTATAACCTTTGTAGGTCATCTGAGTCTAAATCATGTACAACATCGTGAAGATGACATATATTTATCTGTACGACTATAATACAAAACTAACACATTGGTTAAACAGTTGTGAATATATATATAAAGGCAATACACGATGAATAAAGTAGCCATTTTGAGCTGGATCATGAGCAAAATAAATAAAACACCACAGATTCTATGATGCATGAACTTATCAGGGTCAGGAAAGATAGGTTTGCGTATAAAAGAATTGACTAAGTCAGCAAGCATTTTTGTTCTTTTGTGTATAAAGTTGGTTTGCTTACTCTTACTATACTGCAGGGTTTTTTTTTAATAGCACAACCGCTATATATATTGCGTTTCAAAAAAATTAATATTTTCGCTAATTTTTCAAATTGTCTAAAGAAAAGGTAATTTTTAGAGTACGAAAAAAAATTGCATTAATATGAACACTGGTAAAATGAATATGTTAAACTGTTTTGAGACGAAAGAAGATACTTATTATATTTATCTCATGCTCGTAAAAAACTAGTAATATCCAGAAAATACGACGACAAAAACTCGTTCCTAATACGGCCGCGCCTTTTTTATTTTATTTATTGCTGATTTGACAACTGATTATTTTTACTCTTTCTATTATAGTTAATAGACATCATAGGTACAGTGCATGAGGGTTATGGAACACAAAGACGACAAACATAGCATGTTCCTTTCTTTCGTTTTTTTGTATTCATCACATAGTCTGCTAATTACTGTTTCCGTGCTTCCTAATATCCGATTGAAAATCTGAAAGTTGTGTTGAAATCAGCTCCACTAGCGTAGCCAAACCGTTCACTAATAATTACCATGTTGTGTAGAAATCAGCTTCACTAATGTAGCCAAACTGTTCACTAATAATTACCATGTTGTGTAGAAATCAGCTTCACTAATGTAGCTAAACTGTTTACTAATAATTACCATATTGTGTAGAAATCAGCTCCACTAATGTAGCTAAACTGTTTACTAAAAATTACCATGTTGTGTAGAAATCAGCTCCACTAGTGTAGCCAAAATGTTCACTAATAATTACCATGTTGTGTAGAAATCAGCTTCACTAATGTAGCTAAACTGTTTACTAATAATTACCATATTGTGTAGAAATCAGCTCCACTAATGTAGCTAAACTGTTTACTAAAAATTACCATGTTGTGTAGAAATCAGCTCCACTAGTGTAGCCAAACTGTTCACTAATAATTACCATGTTGTGTAGAAATCAGCTTCACTAATGTAGCTAAACTGTTTACTAATAATTACCATGTTGTGTAGAAATCAGCTTCACTAATGTAGCTAAACTGTTTACTAATAATTACCATGTTGT